CCCAGAGGCTCTACTAAGCATTCCCTTAGTAAAAATGATAAATTATGAAGTCTTGTTCTAGTCTCAATATTGAAATAATTTAAATTCCAAGCACCTTTGGAGTCAAGATGTAAGGAAATAGTGCCCCATTAACACTTTCTTTGAACCTTTTCCTGATCAGAATGATTCCTCTAGCATTCATTAAATTAAACATATATGATTTTATATCAATGTTTATTATTTATTCAGATGCAGTATCTACAAAATACAAGAAAAGTCTGGAGGACGGGAATCCACTCCCTGCCCCACACCCATAGTTTTTAATCTGACTTATTTAAAGCTTTACTCTAGCACCCTGTAAACTGGAAAAACCTTTTTTAATACTCCCACCTATAAGAAAAATAACCACAAATGAATTTTTATGCCTTTTAAAATTTTTATGCTGTTAAAACCTCACTTTTGGAAATTTTTAGGTCCTTTTTCCTCTCATCTGGAAAAGAGAATAAAAATCAAACACATTCTCTTATTTTATCTTTACCATCAAAAGCATCCAGTGGATCTAGCAAGCCAGTTCTTCTAGACTTGGTTGTATCATTTTCAGATTCCTGTTTTGACAGACAGCAGCTCATCATCCATTCATTATTTCTTTCCCCAAACAAAGCTTTCTTCATATTCTGGAGAGTCATGGTAATGCTAATGAATCTCATCTCTGATGCCAATTATGTTAGGTTCATTGCTTTCTGAGAGGACTCAAAGGACCTAAAATATAATTATTACAATGGCTCTGATTTATTGCAGAAAATGAATAAAAAGCAAAACTAGCAAAGGGCAAAGATACATGGTGTAAAATTAGAAGAAACCAATGTAAGCACCCAGGGCATGCTTAATTAATCCAGCAGTGAATTGATTTTAACTAGGGAAATTTAGAGACTAAATGCCCAGGATTTAAACTGGAGGCCACCTAATAGAGCATCTCATCCAGGATTTGGTATTGGCATGTTAACTTTCACTCATATTTGTAACTTTTTTTCTAGCTCTGCTGCGCCTAGCCTCCTTGCCTTTCCCTTAAGTTAACTTTACTTTGTAGCTACCTACTTATAAACACATTGCTGCAAAATTTTCCTTTGTAGCAAATATACTGCTCTAAGGATTTCCAAGAAATTTTACAATTCCCAGGCTACAGATTATATAGCCATTTCACCCCCTCTAAGATTATGATGCCCCATTAGTCTGTGATTAAACCATCTTTAGCTATTCTATTTAGGCCAAGTAATTTGCCCTCTCTGGGGATTCTGACTATTAAATCCAGTATAGTCAGTGAGATATTGGCCATTTCAACTCAGTTGTTTGTCTTGTGTAAGGTTTTCAGTGGGATTATCCCCACTTTAGTAGCGACCCAAATTTTTATATTCAAAAGCTATGATACTCAGATGAATCATATACCACAGCTACACTAAACAAGATTTATTGAGAATAAACTGTAAGCACAGTAGCACCAGAGCACATGTGACATTCCACTCTCTCATCTTGTACAAGTTGAGTTTGGTCTAGGGGCATCTGACGGACAATGGAGAATACTCTAAAGGAAGAATTCTATACACATACCAGTTCACAAATTTATAGATAAACTCAGGGAGGGTAGGGGAAAAACAAGTGATTCTGGAACTATGAAGTTTCCTGATGAGGGGAAACTAGTCTTGCTGGGAAAAGAGGCTTTGGAAAGAGCTCACATGTTTGAATATTAATGAAAGACTTTGAGAGTGCCAAGCTATCAAGTAGGGAGATATCAATTCAGGCCATTTAAAAAAAACATGTTCATCATCTCCATGGATCAATAATTTTTTTCCTAGTGTTAGAATGGTTTTTAGTTTTGTTCTGTATAATTTACTTTCAGTTTAAGTCCTATTTCTCATTGAATAACAACATTTTTGGACCTTTGTACCACTGGACCTATGTACCATGATCATGGTAAGAATTATTTACACCTTTACAATCTATTTCTTAGTAGTCCATCAGCCCTATTTTTCTAGATGAGATAATTCCCAATATTTTAACCTTTAAGTTTTCTAGTCTTTTAATAATGTTGTTTTTTTTGCTAAACCTTTCAAACTTTTTTCAAATTTATTTTAGTTGAGGAGCTTAAAATTAGTCATTATGAAGATTTTAAACTGGCTGAGGATGTGGCTCAAGCGGTAGTGCACTCACCTGGCATGCGTGCGGCCCGGGTTTGATCCTCAGCACCACATATAAAACAAAGATGTTGTTTCCGCTGAAAACTAAAAAATAAATATTAAAATTCTCTCTCTCTCTCCCTCTCTCTCACTCTCTCTTTTAAAAAAAAGATTTTAAACAATGATATTTGTAATTTTAAAAAAACTACCAAAATATTTATGGTAACTTTTGACTTGTACATTTCCTAAATTGAAATTTTCTACAAGGTTAACTTTTTCAATCTTTTTAGGTTGTACTATAATGCACACTTTGAGTCCTATATATTTTTGCTTTTCTTGTATACAGAAATGCATTCCATATCTTGCATTATTATAGATAATAATATCAAATCCATTTTTCTCTATATTTGCATTGATAATTAAAAGTTCTATGTACACATCAATACTTGGGAGAGAGTTTTTTCCTCCTAAAGGCATGAGTTGGAGATTGTGTTGACAATTTAGAAAATGAATGGAATTAAGAAAATTCCTAAAAAAGAAGGTCTTGGAAAGAAGAAAAAGAAAACTAAGAAGGACAGTTTTGGCAGATATCCAAGGGCGATTTTCCCTTTTGCATGGATGACTATATTTTGAGGTATAATTTGTCATGATGTGTCTATGGTGATATGCATAATAGTCTGTACTCTTATACATCGATTTGCTAGGTGAGAAAAGGATGTAATATGCTCAGATCTTCAGAATTAACAAGTGCTTTTGCAAGGAAGAGGAAGTTTTCTCTTTATATCCCCTCAGTGTTGTTGAAGTGTGGCAACCTTCTTTTACAAAATCTGTTAAATACATGCTTAAAAGATCAGTAGAGTAGAGGGAAGGGAGAAAAGGGGAAGGAGAAATGGAGGGGAAGGAGAAGTACTGGGGACTGAGTTAGAATACATTATATTCCATGCTTTTTTAATTATATCAGAATAAATTCTATTGTCATGTATAACTAAAAAGAACCAATAAAAATAAATAAATAAATGCTCAGTGTTATACTATTGTATTTTAATATTCAATAATTACTAGAAAGAATCAATCTAAAATGGGTAGCAAATGATACAAATTAATAATATTTACAAACTATATTTAGGTTGTTTTTTAAATACTACCAAAGCATATGAAGGGAGCAAATCACTTTCTTTGTTATTATCATTATTATTTTATGTGTGAGTATATACTACTGTCCATATAGTCCTCTTTCTCCTTCTGTTCAGCAATATTCAGATAAGTAGTAAGGTTTTAAAGTTTTCCTAGCTCTACATCTTGGCTTTGGTTGATGCAAGTTTGAATACAGTACTGCTTGCATCCTTTCTAGTATTCTTCATTCCTGATCCCTTCAGTAGAAATATCATGGTTATTTGTTTGCAGGAGATAAAAGAAGGGAATGCCTCAGTAGGAAGTTATAAATGAACTTTATGATAGTATTTAAGACTATTGGAATTGCCATACATTTTCTGTATGTTATGATAATGTACCTGTTTAGAATCCAGTGATTAATTATGTATCATAATAACCATTTCAAAATCTTTTAAAATGTTTTGCTTTCTACTTTTAGCTATATGGTAATTTTACTGGCAGAAGTGATAGTCCACATGATAACTGTAGGTATGCTTGTGCATAAGTATCAGTTTATATTATACCCTTGGACCATTTTTATGTTTCAGTAACTTAAAGACAATAGTCCTCTAGGGTATGTCTTTAAAAAACAATCTTTAGAATAGTGTTATACTTTATTTTACAGCTAGTCATCTTAAATTCAAGTACTAATAAAACTATTAAGTCATGTTTGAGTATGCAATGATATCCTTAACTGTTGAGGATAGGAAGCCTCCTACTTTAATATTGGAATCTGCTTTATAAATAGCACCACAAAAGTCTATTTGTTGTCAATTATGTCTTTTAACCATCACCCACTTTACACTTTATCTTCAGGAATGTCCTTCCCACTTCACTACTCTTTTTTTATAATCCATACTCCAGTGTTTGAAATTTATTCTAAATTAACAAATGTAGAATAAGTGGCAATAGTTACTTTTAAAACTTTTGTTTCTGGGACCAAAATTGAAATTATTTTGCTAACTTTGCAATAAACCTTACACAAATTATGTCAACGGGAGCATTAGCTCATAAGATAAAAAACAATCAAACCCTTGCAATTGATAGGACTAATAAAGCAGTTAAATTTTTATAGAAAGCATAGGTAGTTTGACTGTTTAAATTATCATGTAACTTAGAATGTTGGGACAAGCATAAACCAGAACTGTGTAGCAAAACCATGACATATAGCCATTCTGGTTCTGGAACTAGGAGAGCTGATCCTCTGTGAATTGATAGAAAATAAGTACCTGTTACTTTAAAGAAAACTTTAAAGAAAGTTTTAGAACTTGGGAATTGCTTGGTAAAAGGCAGTGATCTTTTAATATCAAAATTGTGATGGAAAGATTTTTTATTTTCATTCTGAAATTGTGGAAAAATAATTTTGGAATAAATGTGACTAATGGGCAATCTCCAAACCATCCAGTGCTCTACTTTGATTGACTAAATCTTTCTCATGTTGTACCCTGTTATGACATTGAACAGATATTGTGTAGGAATATTTTAAATGAGTTAATTTTATGCATGTATTTTAAATCCCAGAAGAGAGATTGCTATCTTTAACTTGTTACCTAATTTCAATTTCATATTTATTACCATTAATTAATGAATAGTTATGATCACATACTTAATATCCTTATTGATTATGAAAATGATTCTTCAGTTGCAAATAAAATGTTCTTCACATAATCTAATAACAGATGTTTTGTAATTCTAAAGCTCAGAGAAGAAAAGATCTAGCTCTGCTATTTCAGATCTTTCACAGAACCTCAATTCTCAAGATAAATCAGCTTTTTTAGAGATTTCACATGAAGTTTCAACTGATGAAGCTCTACTTCATACATCTTCATCAGAGAACCATGATAAACCACGTAAAATAGAATCACCCAGCAAAAAAAATCAAGAATCACCATCTGTCAAAATATTGCCTGATGAGAAAGAAACAGTGATATCATCCTTGATTTTACCTCCTGTTCTTAATGAAGGAAACTCAAAGGTATTTATTCTGAATTATTAGACTCTTTCAGTATCTTGAATAAATGTTAATTAAAAACTCATCAATATTATATAGAATAAAAGTCTTCTTCGATAACACAACTGGTTTTATATTTAGAATGTTGAAGGTAATATTTGGAAATCTATATGATACCTTTAACTTATAAACATTTCTAATTGGTATTGACACAAAGTTGTGATAAAAGTAATATAATTACTGAAAGAAGGAAAATTTTCACATTTTTTAAATTTCAGATTCATCTACACAAAAACTTCCATAATAAAGTGATTGTAAACATGTAATAGTTTTAAAATAATTTTATATACTTTTAAAGAAGACATAGAAATTTTTAAGAATTTCTTTTGCTAGAAAAGTATTTAATTATGAAATTGTTATGGTAAAAATCCTGGGAAAAAGAAAAAAAGGTAAAAAGTCTATATATACTTGACATGTGTCTATTATGTATTTTTATCATAGAAGTTATTAATATCTTTATATTAAAAACTTTGCAAGCATTGAACTTTGTGTAAAGATTGAAGCTTATTAAAATGCAAATCTAAACAAGAATTGTAATCAATAATTGTTAACTCAATTTGTTTAGTATCTATGAGGGAGAATCATATTGTAAGGGTCCGGCGAAACGTCGGAGTAAGAGACCACAAGAGACTGTCTTATGCAAAAGCAGAAGGGTGGGTTTATTTGGAGACCAGCATGCTGGGGCTCCCTCTATAGCAAAGAGAGATAGAGCCCTGAGAACAGCTTGAGCAGAGCTTATATACTTTCCCTGGAGAGGGCAGGGAGAGAAGTTACATTTTGTAGTTTGGCAGTTGGGGACAGCTCTTTCTGGGAACAAGATTAGCAGACAGTCCATAGTTGGGGACAGCACATTCTGGGAACAAGATTAGCAAACAGTTCTTAAGATTTCAACAGTGTTTTGTTAAGCATATAGAGAAACGCAGTGACAAGTACTTATTTTATTAACCTTTCAATATTATTACTGAGTTTCCTGCGATACTATTCAATATTCACAGTTGCCTCTCTGATCCATTAAATGTGTCCACGTTTTTTATTTGATACATTCAGGAAAATTATAGTTTCTTCAATGAATTATAGATGAGAGTAAAAAACTAGCTTTCTTTCTAAAAGAAGGTAATTAAATAGAGTTCTGAGATATTTAATTTGAAATTACTTACTGTAACTTTTGTTATGAAGGTTGATGTATCAGAAGAGAAATTACAAACAGAAACTCAAAACCAAACAGCAGAAGAATTTGAAGGTAAAATGATTTCCTGTCATGTAATATGAAATATGAATGTCCCTATGCTATAATTAGAAGTAAATGAAGGAAGAATATTATTAAATTGTTAGTCATCCAGTGGTTTAGAAGAATAATGATAGCTATATAAAAATTTGATAAGTTACCATTATATTTTTCAGAGAGTCTATTTCAAGTAACTAAGTCTGTATAAGAAGTAATAACTTTGCTTGAATGAAACAGGTGTATTTATTAGTATAAACAATATCATATCAAAATCAGATCAGGTGAATATCAGAAAAAAAGATCATTTCTGGTATAAATAAGTGTTTGCTCTATAATATATTATGAAACAAAAATAAATGTGTTATTTCTTTATAGTATGTCTAACTTTAATATTCAATTTATATTTTATTGCACTAGACTCTACTTTCAAAGCAGAATGGAATGTTTGTGATGTATGGTGCTAGAATATCAATATTCTATTGTGTTTTGAATGAGAATGCTTCTACTGTTTCACCTATGATGATTGGTTATTTTGATCAGAATGATTTCTTTTATTTATTCTGAGTTTATTTCAAATTTGTACCAGGAGTGGCAGTAACTATATTTACAATGTTGTGCAATCATCACTTCTACATCTATTGCACAACTTTTCATTACTCCAAAAAGAATCTCATTAAGCAATAACTTCCTTTCCCTCCCCACACAGTCCCTGGTAATCTCTATTCCATTTTCTGTCTCAGTGAATTTGCCTGATCTATATAATAAACTTAAGTGAAATCAGATGATATCTGTTCTTATAAGTTATTGTTTCCTTTACTGTATAAAAATTACTTTGATAAATTACCATTATATTTTTCAGAGAGTCTATTTCAAGTAACTAATTTGAATTCATCCAATGTATTGATTGAAGCTTTTTAATTTGAATTCATCTGATATATTGATTCTTGATTTTACTTCTTGTGTTTTAGGAGTCTTGTTAAGGAAGTCAGATCCTAGGCCGACATGATGAAGATTTGGGCCTACTTTTTCTTCTGTTAGATTCAAGGTCTCTGGTCTAATTCCTAGGTCCTTTATCTGCTTTTAGTTGAGGTCTGTGCATTATGAGAGATGGGGGCTTAATTTAATTTTGTTGCATATGGATTTCCAGTTTTACTAGCACCATTTGTTGATGAGGCTATCTTTTCTCCATTATATGTTTTTGGCATCTTTGTCTAGTATGAGATAACTGAATTTATGTGGGATTGTCTCTGTGTCCTCTATTCTGTACCATTAGTCTATAAGTCTGTTTTGGTTCCAATACCATGCTGTTCTTGTTACTATTGCTCTGTAGTATAGTTTAAGGTCTGGTAGAATGATGTCACCTGCTTCACTCTTCTTATTAAGGATTGCTTTAGCTAATTCCAGATGAATTTCATGATTGCTTTTTCTATTTCTATGAGGAATGCCATTGGAATTTTTATTGGATTTTTAAAAATCTGTATAGTGCTTCTGGTAGTTTGGTATTTTTACAATATTATTCTGCCTATCCAAGAACAAGGCACATCTTTCCAACTTTAATTTCGTTCTTTAGTGGTCTGTAGTTTTCATTGTAGAGGTCTTTTACCTCTTTTTTTGATTCCCAAATATTTTATTTTAATTTTTGACACTATTATAATGTGATAGTTTTCCTAGTTTCTTTTTCAGAGGATTTGTCATTGATGTACAGAAATGACTTTGATTTATGGATGTTGATTTTATATTCTTATACTTTCCTGAATTCATTAATAAATGAAATCTGGAAGTTCTAGAAGTTTTCTGGTGGAATTTTCTAGATCATCTAGGTATAGAATCATATCATCAGCAAATAGTGATAATTTCAGTTTTTATTTCCATATCTGTGTTACTTTAATTTCTTTCATCTAATTGTTCTGTCTAGAGTTTCAATAACCATGTTAAATAGACATGGTGAAAGAGGGAATCCTTGTCTTGTTCCCGTTTTTAGAGGGAATGCTTTCACTCCATTTAGAATGATGTTGGCCTGGGACTTAGCATAGATATCTTTTGTAATGTTGAGATATATTCCTGTTGTCCCTAGTTTTTTCTATTGTTTTGAACATGAAGGGGTGCTGTATTTTGTTGAATGCTTTCTGTACATCTATTGAGATGATCATAGTATTCTGTAAGTCTATTGTTGTGATGAATTAGATTTATTGATTTTCATATGTTGAAGCAACCTTGTATCTCTGGGATGATGAACCCCCCTTGATCGTGAAGCACTATCTTTTTGATATGTTTTTGTATTTGATTTGCCAGAATTTTATTGAGAAATTTTGCACCTATGTTCATTAGAGATATTGGTCTGAAGTTTTCTTTCTTTGATGTGTCTTTCCCTGTTTTTGGAATCAGGGTGATATTGGCTTCATAGAATGAGTTTGGAAGTGTTCCTTCTTTTCTATTTTATAAAATAATTTGAGGAGTATAAGTATTAATTCTTCTTTGAAGATCTGGTAGAATTCAGCTGTGTATCCATGTGGTCTTGGACTTTTCTTGGTTGGAAGGCTTCTGATGGGATTGTCTATTTCATTGCTTGAAGTTGATCTGTTTAACTTGTTTATATCATCTTGATTCAGTTTGGGCAAATCATATGACTGTAGAAATCTGTGTATGTCTTTGATATTTTCTACTTTCCTGGAGTACAAATGTTCAAAATAATTTCTAATTATCTTTCTGTAGTGTCTGTCATGATATTCCTTTTTCAACACAGTTTTTAGTAATTTGAGCTTTCTCTCTTTTTCTTCATTAGCATGGCTAAGGGTTTAATCAATTTTATTTATTTTTTTTCAAAGGACTAACTTGTCACTTTTTCAGTTGTTACTTTTATTTCGATTTCATTGATTTTAGCTCTGATTTTAATTACTTCCTGTCTTCTACTGCTTTTTATGTTGATTTGTTCTTTTTCTAGGGCTTTGAAATGTAATGTTAGGTCATTTATTTGTTGACTTTTTCTTCTTTTAAGGAATGAACTCCTTGCAATGTTCTTTCCTCTCAGTACTGCCTTCGTAGTGTCCCAGAGAATCTGATACTTTGTATCAGTGTTCTGATTTACCTGTAAGAATTTTTAATCTCCTCTTTGATGTCTTTTGCAACACATTATTCAATCAATAACAAAGTATTTAGTCTCCAGATGGTGGAGTAGCTTCTATTTTTTATTTTGTCATTGATTTTCAATTTCATTCCATTATGATCTGATAAAATGCATGGTGGTATCTCTACTTTTTTGCATTTGCTAAGTTTCTTTGTGGCTTATGGTATGTTTTAAAGAAGGATCCATTTGCTGCTGAGAAGAAAGTATATTCATTTGGTGAAGGTTGAAATAGTCTATATATGTCAGTTAAGTAAGTTATTGATTGTATTATTGAGTTCTATAGATTCTTTATTTTCAACTTTTGTTTGGAAGATCTGTCTAGTAGTGAGAGAGGTGTGTTAAAGTCACCCAAGATTATTGTGTTATGGTGAATTTGACTGAGAAGAATTCTTTTGATGAACATAGCTGCACCATTGTTTAGGGCATATATATTTATGATTGGTATGTCTTGTTGGTGTATGGTTCCCTTGAGCAGTATGTAATGTCCATCTTTATCCCTTTTGATTAACTTTGGCTTGTAGTTTACTTTATTTGATCTGAGGATGGAAACCCCTGCTTGGTTCCCAGTCTATGTGAGTGGTATGATTTTTCCCAACATTTTATCTTCAGTCTGTTTGTGTCTTTTCCTATCAGATGAGTCTCCTGGAGGCAGCATTTTGTGGGGTCATTTTTAAAAATCCAGTCTGATAGCCTATGTCTTTTGATTGGTGAGTTTAAGCCATTAACATTCAGGGTTATTATTGACACATGGTTTGCATTCCCAGCCATATTTGTTTATTTTTGTTATTTAACTAGACTTGATTTTCTTCTTTGATTAGTTTTTCCTTTAGGGTACTACCTCACTCTGCTGATTTTCATTATTGTTTTTAATTTCCTCCTCATGGAATATTTTTCCAAGGATGTTTTGTAGTGCTGGTTTTTTACTGTAAATTCTTTTATCTTTTGTTTATAATGGAAGGTTTTTATTTCATCATCATATCTAAAGCTTAATTTTGCTGGATGGATAAAAGATTCTTGGTTGGCACCCATTTTCTTTCAGAGCTTGATATATGTTGTTCCAGGATCTTCTAGATTTCAGAGTCTGTGTTGAAAAATATGCCATTATCCTAATTGGTTTCCCCAATATGTAATCTGATTCCTTTCTCTTGTGGCTTTTAAAATTCTCTCCTTATTCTGTATATTAGGCATTTTCATTATAATGTGCCTTGATGTGGATCTGTTGTGATTTTGTACATTCAGCATTCTCTAGGCTTCTTGAATTTGGTTTTCCAATTCATTCTTCATGTTGGAAAGTTTTCTGATATTATTTCATTGAATAGATTGTTCATTCCTTTGGTTTGGACTATGCCTTCCTCTATCCCAATAATTATTAAATTTGGTCTTTTTATGCTGTCCCATATTTCTTGAATGTTTGCTCATGGTTTCTTATCATTATTGCTGTGTGATCTATGTTATTTTCAAGATTATAATTTTTTCTTCATTGTCTGATGTCCTATCTTCCAAGTGGTCTACTCTATGTTGGTGATGTTTTCATTTGAGCTTTTAATTTGGTTTATTGTTTCTTTCATATCAAGGATTTCTGTTTGTTTGGTTGTTTTTTGTTTTTGTTTTTGTTTTAGAGCCTCTATCTCCCTGTTGAGGTGATTTTTTGTTTCTTAGATTTGTTTATGTAGCTTCTTGTCAAAGTGATCTTTCACTGCTTGTATTTGCTCTCTCATATCTTCCTTCAGTTCACAGAACATTTTAACCATGTATATCCTGAACTCTTTCTCTGTCATTTTTTCTTCTGTGGCTGCCAATGATTCTAATGATGTGGTGTCTTGATTTGTTTGTGGTACTGTCTTCCCTTGTCTTTTCATGTTGTTCATGTGTTTTTCTTTTCAGCTCTGTGGGTCTGTGGTATTATTTTTTTTACCCTGTAGGTTTATAGTGCTCTTGTAGGGTTACAAGATCCCTCCTTTATGGGAAGGACAATGTTAACTGATCGAAATATCAACAATATATCACCTATGAACAATTTGTTGTTATGAAGACATTTACAGTTTAGTCTCAATGTACAGAAATGTTGGAGTCGATTATTATCTAAAATATAATTAATAGTTTTGTAAAAAGGTTTACAGTTTCTGATAGTGGACAATAAACTGGGGGTGGGCCTAGGATGATATGCTGAGGTGGAAAGATGTGAGGGTATAGAGTTAATATATCTTAGGAAGTGTGAAAAAGAAATCTAATGAAGAGCATTAATAGAGAATAGACAGGAAGTAATTTAAGGTAGACAAGTACATGGGAAGACAGTAGAGTACATAAAATAAACACCTATATGTATTTAAAAAAATACAGGATGTTAAAATAGTAAAATTTGGAGGGGGAAAGAAAAATGAAAGCCCCCCCCCCAAAAAAAGGGAATACACAACACCTCTTTTGACTCAGTCCTCAAAATCCTATTTCATCCAGAGTTCTTGGTTTCACATATGTTGGGATGTGAGGGTCAGAGGATAGAGGGGTAGAAGAGAAAGAGAAAAAAAAAATGCTCGAAAGAAGAAACCAGGGTTGCTGCTGCTAGTTTTAGAGATCTGTATCTTTTCTGTTTCTGTTCTCATCCAGTAGGTGGGGTTTTTGTTTTAAGCTGGTGTCTCTGCCCTCAAGATGGTGTAGGTAACTAGGGTGGGAAGACTGGTCCTGGTTTAGGGTGTCTGGGAGCGGGGAGTGCCACCTGCCAGTCTCTGCAGGGAGAGTGCACTTCAGGGTCTCTTTTTAGGATTGCTTGTCTGACTTGAGCACCCGGTATTGTCTCCCTCTCTTGCCTGGAGATTTCTCAGTTTCTGGTCTCTCTGTTAGGCTCCAAAATTTAGACCCATCCCCTCTCACTTAGCAGTTTCCACCTAGGGGACCTCTCACACCCAAGCCCACACCAGGTAGGCAGCACCCTGCTCACACTGCATGCCTGCCCAATTGGGAGCTGTTTTTATGTTGAGTGGTCACTGTGCTGAGTTATCACCTGTGGGGGGGGGGATTGGATACCTGGTACCTGGCCAGATGCTGAGAGCTGCCCCCACCAAATATGGTGAAAAAGGTTAGCCAAGATGGAGTTGGTCTGCTTCCAGTGCCAGGGTGTCTGGTGAGGTGGGGAGAGCGGGGTGATGGCATTTTGCTCTGGGTAGGTAGTAGCTGAGTGACCTGCATGGGAGCAGAGCACAGTCTGGAGTTATGCAGAGGTGCTGATAGGTGATTCTGCTAAGCCACTTGAGAGCTGTGTGTGGGCTAGAACTGTGGGCTTTGGGTTTGGGGAGCCAAGGGTCTGGAATCCTGCACGAACACTAAGGTTCTGAGCCCTGCACGGGGGTCACAGCACTTGTGACTATTTAGGGATCCTCTTGCACTCTTCTAGATGCAGTATTCCCATGAAGTGAGATCTGGTTCACAGAGCGACACAGGATGCTGCCTCCCTCTGGCCTGCCATCTTGGAATCTCCATTTTCCATATTTTCTATTTTATTAAAGTACAAATTTTAAAAATAATTTCTAATTATTGTAAGGTCAGGCAACAGCAGCAACCAAGAGGAGAAAGATTTAAAAAGGCCACTTAACGAGTCTTAATTGAGATCTCACTTCCAGCAAGGAACTCTATCACACCGACAGAATAAGGAGAGGGTCTGAGGAGAAACTGGAATTTTTATTGGACTTAGCACAGGAAGGGAGGGTTTGGGACAGGAAAAGGGGTTTTTAGGGTCCCTTGTTCCACTGGAATTGGTGGGTTGGGGCGAGCTGGCTGAGATCCAAGATTGGCCAGGAGACCCTCCTGATTGACAGATGGTGTCAGGCCTGATGGTGGTTTTTTTTGTGTGAGCAAGGGCTGCTTGGTGCATTGTTCCTAAGTCACTACCATCAACCTGACAATTGTCTTTTGTATTTATGTAGTGTCTGTTGTGATATTTCCTATTCATCACAGCTTTTAATATTTTGAGTTTTCTCTCTCCTTCTCTTCATTACCCCCCTGGGTAAGTTCTACTCTGTACTTTTTATATAAGTTCTTCCAGACTCAGCCTAGGTACTTGATAGGCACCTTCCTGGATATGGTGGCTGTACCTCCCCCCCACCAATCTCCTAGGTTCTGTAGTTGCCATGGCAGTGTGCTCACCCCAAGCTGGCTCCTGCCTCAGCTCTCCAAAACAAGCTGAGATACAGAGCAAGCATTTCAAACACCAGTGCATAATTCAGCCTCTGGATCAGCTAAGATTAGGCAGTATATTTTAATATCATGCTTTTTTTTTGTACTAAGACTGTGTTCCCTCTCTCTGACTGTGGTGAATCTGTGCAGGTGGCACCCATGGAGCAGTAGAGTGGCTCCGATGTGGATGTGTTCTTCTTTGTTTATTATACCCAAATTTCTGAGTCTCTACACCACTTTGATGTAGGACAGATAAGGTTGGACCCTAAGGAAACAGGTTTATTGCCTGCAGCTGGTCCAGAAGTGTGTGCCTTTGCCTAAATCAATCCATCCCTCAGAACCCCGAGTCCAGAAATTTTTATAATTTTATACCCAGTGTATAGGGGAAGAGGGGAACTTAGAAGTTCACAATTTGCAAAAGTCTACATAAAAGTACTTTTTGTTTTTGTTTTACTGTAGTGGGTAACTAACCCAGGCCTGAATACAAAAATAAACCAAGTATACTCTGTAAAAATTAGTGCTAGGGAAAGGGAGCCCCGACCCCCAGGCTGGTTTTCAAGGAACCCAATTAACAACATTCACTCTTACCTTTTGGATTGTAAAGGACTTTCCCTAGTACCTAACTACTTTCCTTTGAAGTGTAAATGCCCCTGTGAAAGCTCTAGGCCTGCTAAGAGGAGGCAGACTCCCTTATTGCACTTTGCTTTTGTAAACACACTTCCTGCCTGAAAATTCTTACTAACAATCATATATCATTTTATACTAAGAAATTTATGACACTAGATAGCCTGTAAATGTGAAAAACTAGTAAGGGGTGCTCAGAATCTGGAATGCTAATCTCCTCTGGGCCTGCAGCCAAATTTAGTTATTGCAAGATAGGGTAACAGGAAATAGGAAGCCTAACCACATTTGAACTCTTTTGTAGAAATTCTTGCTAATAGTCTAAGAACAGTTATGATGAGGATCTCTGGAGAAGCTTAAATTAGATTTTCTATGTAGGAGGGGGTGCCATTATATCCAATATTAATTTTTAGTGAGAACCCTCTTTCTCTCATCTCACTGAGAAGGTGTACACCTGCTGCTTTGGTCCCAAGCTATGGCACAACTTGGGATGCAGCTTTTCTCTACCCTGTCAGCTTCAGGAATCTACTTCTCTTTTTCTACTTGTTGATTTTATTGAATTTTGGGAATATGTTAGAACCACAACCTATCCAAGTTTTAAAAATTTATAAAAAGATATGCATACCTTGAGGAGTAAAATTTCTTCCCCAATATTTATCCTTATTTTGTTGTTTGCTTGTTTGTTTGTTTTTGATACCAGGAATTGAACTCAGAGGCACTCAACCACTGAGCCACATCCCCAGCCCTATTTTGTATCTTATTTAGAGATAGGGTCTCACTGAATTGCTTAGCACCTTGTGTTGCTGAGGCTGGTTTTAAACTGTTATCCTCCACTCTCAGCCTCCCAAGCCACTGGGTTTACTTTGTTTTTAAAATATCTTTACTATATTTTCTTTTATAAAGGTATCTCTTCATTTTTCTCTCTTTGTCTCTTTTTTATTAATATTTTTATAGTTGTAGATGAACACAATACCTTTATTCATTTATCTTTTTATGTGGTACTAAGGATTGAACCCAGTGCCTCACCCAGTGCTAGGCAAGCTCTCTACCACTGAGCCACAACCACAATTCACTCCCTCTCTCCCTCTCTCTCTGTATCTTATTTACCTTTCTTCATTAAGAGGTAGCATAAAAGTTATCTTTATCAGTTTTTTCCTCACCTAACATTATCTCCTTGTAATTCTCCAAGTTTATTTATAGATATCTGTATTACACTAATAAGTAGAATATAAAATATACTATAGTTTGTACTGTACAAATTTTTATTTAACTAATTCTCCACAGTTGAACCATTTCTATGGCTTTGAATATTTTATAAGTATAAATAATGTTATAATAACAACCTTGAACCTATATATTTTCATTGTTTATATAATATATATAATATATAATCTAAAGGTATATGTAACACAATGAAGATAGGACTTAATTAGAAAATTAATTTAAGAAATGTTTATGAATTAAGGAAATAACTTTAATACTTGCAGCTCTTATCACCATGTTCATGTCAGATCTCACATTTTAGTAATTGATTTAAAACTTTTTACATGAGGAAAAAATGCTACTATATCCTTGTTATAAATTTTAAAGTTAGACATTTAACAATTTATCTATTTATATCCTATTTTGTACATTAAATACATCTCTTTATGTAGCTTTTGATGAAGAATCAAATAAAAATCTTGTGCTTGAACATCAAGACTCAATAACAGAAACAAAAATAAAGGGAAAAAAAACTCCTAAAAGGGAAAGATTGATTAGTAAGTATAATAATTATAGATAACATTATACTATTTTTAATTAAACTTATCAGATATTTTTTAGACTTAGATCTAAAGTGTGAATGTGTTTATATAACTTGAAGATAAAGGAAAAAATATTTGTAGTTTTGACTGATATTTCTGGTCCTATCATTATTTCATGACTGTAGAATAAGCCCTCTAAGGCCCTATAATAGCCAGTAATAGACTCTTAAATGCTGTGTACATTTCAGTTCACTCTTACAGATTATGGATTCAAAAACTCTGTCTTATGGTAGTGACTTTTTCATATAATCTCTATAACTCAAATAGGAAGTGAGGATTAGAACACCCAGGAGAAGGGTAGCCTGATAACCTGTTGGGGGTCTTCCAAAATGTCCTCTTAATTGTAGCTCCACTGAAAGGATATGACCTTTCTGGTAACTCCATAGCTAGATACCATTACATTAGGGAGTTCACAAAGGGAGAAAGAGGGTACAAGTTGCTGAATCATCTCAACCAATTGCTTAGACTTTCTCCTTTTTAGTATGATGGATTGAACTCAGGATCTTACACATGCTAGGCAAGCACTATATATCTACATCCCTAGACTTCTTTTGTTTTATTTTGAGGCAGTATCTCTCTAAGTTACCCAGTCTGGCCTCTAACTTGCAATTATCCTGCCTCTGTGTTTCAAATAACTGGGATTATAACATGTACCACCTTCCGTAACTTGGACCTGTTAGAGAAGAGAAGGCCAAAGCTTGTCTATATTATCTGGAATGAGACATCATGATATAGCATTTCCCACCAGAGCTTAGGAGTTAATATGAACAAAAGTTTACACCAACAGTTCATCTATTCTTATAGCTCATATGTTTATGAGACCACCAGCAGTGAAATTGTGTGGTGACCTGAAAGGGTACACCCATAGCTGGGTCTGGGTAAGAGTACCATTGGTGCTGGCCGCAGACCCAAAACCAGTGAAAAAAACTTTACTGTGTTTTTCCCTCATTCTGATATCAGGAGTTATGGAGATCACAGATACATGTGTACCAGTAACCAAAAGAACCCCCAAATGGGGTTCTTTCCTACTTCTCCATTAAACACTTACTACCTCAACATAGGTTCTTATGTTCCCACTAGGGAATAGGAACATGACCTAACTCACGGTCTGTTTTTTGTTGAAAGCATACAGTTCTGGTTGAAGGACTCACTGATTCATGTCAAGATTCAATGGCAAGAGCTAAGCAATAGAAATTGTATTTGTTCTAGGGACTTTAACCATAGGCCCACAAATAGCTCAGACCTTAGTTCAGCCATAGTAAGGGCATCCTTTGGCTCTCTACTAGCCATCTGATCCTTGGTCAAGAGCCTGTAAATCTATTTTACCAAGACTCTTATGTTGAGTATCCAGCCACAGATCTTATTGAGAAAGCCTTTTCCTAGATTGTCTAGGAGTTGGGTGTCCTGTAACTCTTCTTATATTGCATTCATTGCCAGTAAATCAGTGGAAGTACCTGCTATTTTGTAGTATATAAGTTTTAAGTTAATACCCAAATTATGTCATGCCTACTGATGTAACTTTATGAGGAAGTTTAGTTGACTTGATTCCTTCCAATAAGGGTGACATGAATGAAATTAGAAATCTAAATCTGGTTAAAAGGCTTATTGTGAGCTGAACTTAGTAAGTGTATACTTTAGGACTCCCAACATATTTCAAAGAGACAGTGTCACTTCTGCAAAGGTAGTCTAAACATGTTTTTCAATAGCAGGAAACTCATTGTGGGTAGCTCAAACTGTCAGAGTCAACTGTCAGAGGATAAAGAAATGTGTGTGAAATGTGCACTTTTTTCTCCTGCCTCTGTGTTTCAAATAACTGGGATTATAAGCATGTACCACCTTCCATAACTTGGACCTCTTTTAATCTGTTAGAGAAGAGAAGGCCAAAGCTTGTCTATATTATCTGGAATGATAGCAAGAAACTCATTGTGGGTAGCTCAAACTGTCAGAGTCAACATAGTACCCAGAGGATAAAGGAATGGGTGTGAAATGTGCACTTTTTTCTTTTCTTCTTTTTCTACCTCTTTAAGCAATGTAGCTACTACCAAGGCTCTCCAAAGGAGGAGTTGTGTGGTGATTAACCTCATAATATACTTCTCTACTTCACTAAGTTTAATGAGATTTTTTATTTCAACTTGGAGGAAAACTAGCCACAACCCTAAGCCCTCTTGTGCTTGCTGCACAGAGCAAACTCATGGTTCTCATTCTTTTTCATTAAAACACAATTCTAAATAACTCACTGTATCAGCTAACAATAGTCATGAGATCAGTGTGTGCAGGTTCTCTGATGATTTTAAGTCCTATTGCCAGTGAACCATAAGCAGTAGCCAAAGATTGCTTTCCTAGCACATTCCTCTGGTGAATCTCTAATTTGACTCACTGAGTTGTAGCAAATGAATCTAAAGAGAAAGACAATTGTTTTTCTTCAGAACTGAAAAGTTTATGCAAACATTAAATAACACCCTTTTAGAACATTCTCTGGGGTCTGCTTGCATCAGCCTACCTACTCAAGCATTCAGGATATTTCAGACTCTTAGACATCTTCAGTTCCAGTAATTGAATCACTCTATTTGCTGCAGTCTGGCTGGGCACAATTCAGGAGCCACTTGTCAAAAGAAACTAACTTTATTTTTAGAACTACAAACGCCAAACAAAACAGCTCCTCAGGAAAAAACCCTCAGAGCCCAATTGCCACCACCGGCTTTCCACAAGCCTCTCACCCCCACACCAGCCTCTCCACCTTCCACAATCCTCCTGCTCTTGAGGCCGATTGGCTGGGTTGCGTGGGTGGAGCCAAAGAAGTCCCCCAATGAGCAGCTCCGCAGAGGAGCCAATCAGCTAGATGTTGCTGGGGCCGCTGTGAGCCAATCATCAGCTAGCAGTCTGAAGGGCAGGGAAACAGCCCAATGAACATCACCGCAGAGGAGCCAATCAGCTAGATGTTGCTG